AGCTGGGAGGGCAAAAGAAAAATTTAAGTTTTGTTGATGTATCTACTAATTTACATATATATGTACTTATTATCTGTACCCTGCCTTGTTCTGAAAAGGATTTAAAGCAACCTGTAGAGATACAGAGACTTAAATCAATGTGCTTTAACTTAGGAGTTGTTGAGAAAAATGAGTAGAGTAAACTAGAGTGAGGATCCAAAATGGATTTAAAAAACAGGGCTTGTATAGAAAATGTATACAAGGAGCATGTATATACTGTGGGAGGGTAGGCCACTCACATCTCAGTAATTGCCAAAGGTGGGCCACAAATTTGGTTCTGCAGTTTCCTTGGTGCCAAAATAGAAGGAAGCATGATCAGTGATCCTACTGGTTTTTAAACCTGCCCAGAAGAATATTCTCCTCAGGTCCTTAGGGGAAGAAAGTAGATTCTGAAAGTCTTCCTCAACCCTCTTTCAACCATAGCCACCTATATTTTATAATTTGACTTGTTTGTAGGTAAATAAATAAGAATAAAGATGTTTGAATTGAAGAATCAAAAACAAAAAAACTACCTAAGTTAAATCAGTTAACATGTTTCAGTAATTAAACAGTTGCTTAGGCAAAGTATAACTGTTTTTGATACCATGTCAAAAATATTTTTCCCTGTGACTTAATAAAGAGAATAAGTTAGTGGCTGGGGTCCTCAACTATATTTTTAAAATAAGCATCCTGACAAATTTCATAGGGCTCTTCTAGTGGCTCTTCCAGTGTCCTTAGTATAAAACACATAATGTAAAATCTAGAGTGACACGTGATATAAAACACGTATCAAAACAGTTCTGGGGGATGGGGGGGAATACAGCGTATCCAGGAACCATCTCTTGAGTGGTCTAATTTAATTTGGGGTAGATTCTATATAACTAGAGGAGTGGGTAGATAGACTTCATAATCTTCATAAAGATTGTTTCACTTGTGCAGGATATCAGTGAGTTCAAGATTTTATTTGCTGTCTTTCATCTGGGGCACAGATGCTAGCTTCTGCTTCTGACATTTCTTTTCTGTGGACTTTCTTAAGGTGGAATTGCGGAGTGCAGTGGAGGAAGTGGTTAAGGAAACTCCAGAATATCGCTGCATGCAGTCACAGTTCTCCGTCCTGTACAATGAGAGCCTGCAGTTGAAAGCACACCTGGATGAGGCTCGGACCCTGCTTCATGGCACCAGGGGAACCCATCAACGCCAAATTGAACTCATTGAGGTAGCAACCTTGCTTTGTCTTCTGTATGTAAGCTTTTCTATCTCACAAGTTTTACAATTTTATTCTCCCACATACAATTAATTTCTCATTTATTCAGCAAACATTTATAGAGTGGCTGTAGGTCTCTACTCTGATAGATGGTGGACATACGAAGATGAGAAAACGGAATTCCTGCTCTCAAGGGTCTGAAAGTCTAGTGGGAAAATAGTATCTATGAGAGTGCAGAATGGTGCAATAGTGACATGTCCAGAAGATACAGTGATAGAGGAGACAGCATTGGGTCTGTGTGGAACCTTCCTGATTCCACTTGAGAAAGTGAAGTATGCGTCTTGAGGATAAATTCAAGTTTACTGGTAGTTAAAAGTAGGAGAAAGATATTCCCGGCAGTGAGAACAGTATGTATAAAAATGCAAGAGAGAGTGACAAATTGTTGAGTATGGCTGGAGCTATGCGTATGGGGGAAAGTAGTGGGTAGAAGCTGCATCACTGGTTACATGCCATTATAGCATATAATGGCACCTGTAGATAACTTTCTTTTAAAGGCAGAAACTTTTATTCATATGTTCACTTCTGTATCTTCCAAAGTCCTTAAGGTAATGTTTACAGTAGTTTGTCTTTTGATATATGCTGGCCAAATGAATTGAATACTACTTTACATATGCCTATATACTGTTTTATGGTTTAGCTCTCCAACTAAATGGTAATATTATCAGAGTTGGGGGCCATTTCCTTTATTTCTTCAGTATCCTGCCAGTTTCCGAATCAGTGTTTTGAAGCTATCTGGTGTCCATCAAGTATTAATTGAAGTGACAATTTTCAGAGTAATCCATTCTTTTCTTGGCATTTTCTTTTTTTCTTTTCAGATCCTGATAGATCAAATTTAGGAGACATAATAATAGAATGTGATGATATTTTCACATTTTGATAAGAATTTTTGATTGGTTTGTTTTTCTGTTTATAGCGAGATGAGGTTAGTCTTCATAAGAAGCTGAGGACTGAAGTGATCCAGCTTGAAGATACACTGGCCCAGGTCCGCAAGGAGTATGAAATGCTGAGGATAGAATTTGAGCAGACACTTGCTGCCAATGAACAAGCAGGTATAATTATTCTTACTCCACCCTGCAGTTTGTCTGCTGTGAATGCCTTCCTTGAAAGACATAGCACAGTCCCCAGGGTTTGCTAAGACTAATTTGAATTCAGTAGTCCTGGATACCTTGAATCAATCCTGTAATTCATTTTGATTCACAGCCTAGGTGTTAGTTTTCTAATTCAAGTTGACCAGTTTTGTTTTCATAATCTGAGAAGGAATCTTTCTTTTGATAATTCTCCTTATTTCTTAGAGGTTCGTAATGTGTTCTGCACTTTCTCCTTGTGCCTTTGTCCTTATCACAGTTCCTCATAATGTTTCTGTTGCTGTATTTAAGGCCCCATAAACCGGGAGATGCGCCACCTCATCAGTAGCCTCCAGAATCACAATCACCAGCTGAAAGGAGAGGTCCTGAGGTATAAGCGGAAATTGAGAGAAGCCCAGTCTGATCTGAACAAGGTAATCAGGAGCAATAGAATAAGTGTTACTTGCTGTTAAGTTTTTAAAGCTATTTTTGAGTGAGGTAAGGAATGTTATTACTATAAGTGACATGCTTCTTCCCTTTCTTTGTTCTTCCAGACACGTCTACGCAGTGGCAGTGCCCTCCTGCAGTCTCAGTCTAGCACTGAGGACCCCAAGGATGAGCCTGCAGAGCTGAAGCAAGATTCTGAGGACTTATCCTCCCAGTCCTCAGCGTCAAAGGCATCTCAGGAGGATGCCAATGAAATTAAGTCCAAACGGGATGAGGAAGAGCGAGAACGAGAAAGGAGGGAGAAAGAGAGGGAGCGAGAAAGAGAACGGGAGAAGGAAAAGGAGAGAGAACGAGAGAAACAGAAACTAAAAGAATCAGAAAAAGAGAGAGATTCTGCTAAGGATAAAGAGAAAGGGAAACATGATGATGCAAGGAAAAAGGAAGCAGAAATTATCAAACAATTGAAGATTGAACTCAAGTAAGAAACATTTAGAGTAACTGTTTCTGACTCAAAAGCTAAGGTTAGGACATCATGCATGAAGTGTTTGGTTGATGGCATGGCTTCTCTCTGATCATTGTCGAATTTAGGTGCAACTAAATGTACAGTTAATGGGGTCTCAGCTCTTGATCAGGATAGCCAAAATGGCCTGCATGGCTAGTGTGTAGTCTTACTCAGTTTATCAGTAAACCTTGAGGTTGTAGCATTATTCTTCATGAGTCCAAATTAAGGGAAAGGATATTGTGATCAATTTAACACTCCTGAGAATTATTAGAAATTAACTACTTCTCTTTATTGGAGTTAGGCAGATTGCTGGCATTAATTGTAATTTAAATTATACTAAGGGGAGTATGTATCACTGTAACTTGAGCAGTATCTGGTCTGTTTGCCTGATAGTTAACTAGTTCATAGATATGCCAGATCATTTTAAGAGATTTCTTAGGAAGTTTACGCCTACAGACATTTAAACATTAAGATAGACCTTTAACCCAATGAAACATTATCTTTGTCATAACCTCACGTGTTGCCCCTTCTCCTCTTGCATAATCGATAACATCTCTGGTAGAACTGGTTACTTCTTGCACCCCATTTTTCATGGCTGACCCTTTGTTGGTGTTTGGATTTGAGAGATTACGGTGCTGAAAATGCTTGAACTCCTTTGGTATATAAAAGTATAGTTAAGAGGTTTAATAATTTAGGAAGAGATGCAGCTTTAGTCTTCAGCTGATGGCTAATCATTCAGCTATCAAATCTAGGATTAGCAGTATATCTTAAACTTTCGAATATTTCCCTTTTTTTCCTCCCTCTTGATCTCTTTAAGGCAAAACTTTTTTTTTTGCAAGTATGGCATCAGAATTATCTGAGTGACTTGTTTAAATACATTCCTGGATACAATCCCAGACCTACTGAATCTTAGATTCTAAGAGAACCATTTCTGTGGGGCCACAGAAATTTGCCTGTGTAATAAGTGCTACAAATGTTTATTTTATAACTTTATGTTAGAGAACTTTGTCTGAAGAGAGAAATGATTCATTATACAGCTTATTTTTTTGTACTTTCAGAGTATATACAGAAGTCTCTTGATAGTATGTGCAAAATTTGTCATATAAAGTATAAAATAAAACTCTTTTAAAATATTCTGTTCAATTCAAAATGTCCTTTTTCTAATGCCATTTATTTTCTCATTACATCATCCCTCTCCCCCTACCACCTCTGTCATAGGAAGGCACAGGAGAGCCAAAAGGAGATGAAACTATTGCTAGATATGTACCGCTCTGCCCCAAAGGAACAGAGAGACAAAGTTCAGCTGATGGCAGCTGAGAAGAAGTCTAAGGCAGAGGTAATCTAGTCTGCCATTACTTGTCATTCTGGTAAAATGCGTCATTTGTGAGTTATTCCTTCATAATTCTCAAGGTATAGTTTTTTCCTTTATCTTTAAAGGTAGTATTTAACTCAGTAACATTTTCTGCCTTTTAAAGTAGAGATTTTCAGGGCCGGCCTGGTGGCGCACTGCTACAGTGCGCTGCTTGGGAGTGCGGTGGCGCTCCCGTCGAGGGTTCGGATCCCACGTATAGACCGGGTCCCGCTCACTGGCTGAGCGAGGTGCGGGAGCAACACCGAGGGTTGCGATCCCGTTGCCGGTCCCGGTCCGGTACAGGCGCGACACTGAGGGTTGTGATCCGTTGCCGGACACGAAAAAAGGGAAAAAAAAAAAATTAAATAAAATAAAATAAAGTAGAGATTTTCAGATTCTCTGCAAGGTGGCGAGATAGATCTGAATTACTGGGAAAAAGAGTAGCCTTTTCAAACTTTTTATTCCCTGCTTTACCCATATAAAGTAATGCTGTAGTGACTCATTTTTCCTTATTACTTATGGGAGGAATGTCTTGTGATCTGAAAATTTGGGGTCCTAGAAAAAAGAGTGAGAATGACTATTCTAAAGACAAGTACATGCGCATTCCTCAAAAATGTTGCTCATAGAAGCATGTAACATCGCAGTGGGCCCTGATGTTAAAACGGTGTTGTGATGTGGCGTATTGGCATATCATTTATCTTGTTCCTTGATTCTGTAAAAGTGTTATGGGTCCTCCATCTGTGCGCAGTATTAGTTGATCTTCAGAAATGTATTACAACTATCCTTTGTCTTGTGTAATCCTTTTCTCCTATAGTTGGAAGATCTAAGGCAAAGACTCAAGGATCTAGAGGATAAGGAGAAGAAAGAGAACAAGAAAATGGCTGATGAGGATGCCTTGAGGAAGATCCGAGCAGTAGAGGAGCAGATAGAATACCTTCAGAAGAAGCTGGCCATGGCCAAGCAGGTGGGCACACTTTCTGTGTTTAATTGACTTGGCAAGTAAATGTCACTTGACAGGTAAGTTGCTGCCAGTGAAATTTGTTCTTTCATTCTAGTCTTTTACTGCTCTTGTTAATATTTTTTTTCTCCTTTTTTTTTTGTTTTTACACTGAAGTCTTTCATCCTTCCATTATTTTGTTTTGTGTATCTGTGAGGCAGGAAATTTACATTTATTTTCAAATGGATAGTCAGTTGTTCAAATATTATTTATTGAGGATCTGTCCTTTCTCTGTTGACCTGAAATCAGGGTATATAGTGAATATAAAATGGGAAAAAAAAAGATACAAGACTTTAGGCACATTATGATTACAAATATATGAAACTAAGAAAACTATGTCCCCCAAATAGGTTATAAATAAATAATCAATATATTAACTATGGTTGTTTCTGGATCATAGAATTATAAAGACTATTCCCCTTCTGATGAACATGCGTTTCTTTATTTTGAATTCCCAGTGGATTTTTATTAACTTTCAATAATAAACATACCAAAAGTGATTGGAAGAACTATTTATATGTTCACTATTAGGAGCACCTTCACTGTGTCTAAGAAATAGGAAAATGACAATGAGATGAAGTAGTTTTAATGGTAACTTAATCATCAAATGCCTCAAAAAGAGGAACTTCATTAGTTCCTATACATATCTTTTTGCAAAAAGTGGAATTTTGGCTTTTCTTAAATCTTGTGCTTGCCACTTTTCTCACTTTCTCTCTTTTTAAAATAATTGTTAAGAACTTGTACTACTATAGGTTCTAGAACAAGTGGAAGGAAAGACACACTATGTTCTTGTGTAGGATGACTTTCTATCTTAAAGATGCTAATTCTTTCTAATATGTAAATTTAATGTGATCCCAATAAAAATATATCAAACCCTTGAACAACATTGGTTTGAACTGCGTGGGTCCACTTACATGCAGATTTTTTTCAATAAATATATTGGAAAATTTTTTGGTTAGGTGTGTCCTGGTTGCATGACACACCTAACCAAACAGTTAAGTAGCCTACCTAACTGTAGGTTATTAAAAGGCAACTACTTAACTACTACTTAAGTAATGATGCAGTGCCCCTAGTGGGGATGAGGGCCTGCAGTATGGTGTGGCTCAAACCTGGGGGAAAGTTATACGGGGACTTTCAACTGCATGGGGTTCAGTGCCTGTAACCATCTGGTTGTTCAAGGGTCAACTGTAGTCTTTTTTTGTTTTGTATTTGTTTATTTTGTTACTAGACAAACTGATTTTAAAGTACATATGGAAAAGTAAACTAGAAGCAACTGAGTTTCTTCCAGATGTTAAAACATAAAGTTCCAGTTGGGAAAATAGCTTGGGACTGTTAGACAGACTATTACAAATGAATAGAAAATCCAGAGATAGACTAAAGGACACATGGGTATTTAATATGTACTACTTTAGTATCATTTTATCATTTAATATCATTTTAAGTCAGTGGGGAAAAGGAAGACTATTAAATATGGTGGGACAGAAATAAAAATAATATTGGAAAAATGTTAGGTACATACTTGGGCACTCTATATACCAGGATGATTTTCAAATGGATCATAGATATGATATTAAAAAAATAAATCTATCAAAAAGCTAGGAGAAAACAGGTACATTTCTTTACAAATTTGGAGTGGAAAAGACTTTCTAACTGTTACTAAAAGGCTGGAAAACATGAAAGAATGATAATTTTGAGTTATGTAAAAAAAAAAAAAAAGACACAAAGCTTCCAGATAGCAAAGAACACTGTTAGCAAAATTAAATGAGGTTAAATGAGAAAAAAGAAAAAATATTTTTAACTTTTATCAAAAAAGGGCTATCTTTCTGATATATGTAAAACTCTAAAAAATGATACAGAAAAAACCCAACAACCCAATAGAACAATAGGCAAAAGATATGGATAGTTTTTGGAAAAGAATACAAATGGCTCTTAAACATATGAAAAGATGCTCAGTCTCACTTATAATAAGGCAAATATAAATTAAAGCTTTTATTAGGTACCATTCACCACCTGTTAGATTGTTATGGAACTTTGGATGTTTGCATGTGCTGGAAAGTCTGTAGATTAAATTCAATATTATAACTGTGGAAAAGTATGAGAAAATGTGAAGTTTTATTATAGAAGCTTTCTTAACTAACTATTGCTTGATCAGTTTGCTAGATTAAGGTATTTATAATTATTGTCTGCTTTAACTGACTTAGAGTGTGGATCACCTAATGAGTATCAGACCAACAATCATTGCCAATGACTTCAGGTAACAGGGCTTCTTCTGTATTCCTAGGGCTAACCTAGTGACAAAACTAAGCTTCTTAAAACTAAGTCTCTCTCTGTCACCAAGTTAATTTAAATCTCAATGAACAGTGGGAAAGTTTAGTTTCCAGTGCTCATTCTTTGGAGTTAGAAAATTCTACTAATATGAAAGCTTTTTCTCCTTATTTTAGGAAGAAGAAGCTCTCCTTTCTGAGATGGATGTCACAGGCCAGGCCTTTGAAGACATGCAGGAGCAAAATATCCGTTTGATGCAACAGTTGCGGGAGAAGGATGATGCAAATTTCAAACTCATGTCAGAGCGTATCAAATCAAATCAGATCCATAAGTTGCTTAAAGAAGAGAAAGAGGAGCTGGCAGACCAAGTTTTGACTCTTAAGACTCAGGTACTTGGGATGAATAGAGCTTTCTCTTGAAGTGTGGGGTGCTTTCTGCATGAAGACACATGTAAAAGAATGATTTTTGTGGTAGGAAAAAAAATCTGAAAACTAAATGTCCATTATTAGGGTAGTAGTAAATAAATTATACATCCCTACAAAGGAGTACAGTGTAGCAGTTAAAACAAATATGGATCTGTTAATGTGGAAAAATTTCTAAAATATATCAGGTAATTTGTTTTTCTTCTTTTTTAAAAAATGTGTGTGTGTTTGTGCGCATGTGCTGTGTACTTTTTAAATTTCTGGAAGGCTGCATAATAAACTGAAAGAGTTGTCACCTGGTTAGCTCTGGATGTTGGGATGAGAGTTTGTGGATGAGGGGTTAGGAAGTGGGTATGATATTTTACTCTTTACCCTTTAACGTTATTTGATTCTACTTTGTGCATCAATTTCAAAAAAAGATTAGAACCTGTAGTCATTCTGAAAGAGATATACTTAGACTTTTTGTTTCTGCCATAATTTATATGTTCTAGTATGAATTGCCAGGTTTTGAGGATTAGTATGGCAGAGAAGGTAAATATCTGTAATTGTAATTTCCTTCATTTCTGGCATTTTGGAGAAGAATCTTTTCAGTGGTTTCTCAGACTCTTATCTGAATCTTCAGTGATATTTTATGTTAAAAGCAAAGCTTTTAATTATCATAGTCTTGCATGCATTTTGAAGAGTTCATGGGTAAAATCAGTAATAGTTTGAGATTTCTGACATATTATATGAGTGTATTTCAAAAAGTTCACGGAAAGATTCTTAATATCTTTTAATTCTGGTTTTCCTCAAATGTTTTGAAATACCCTTGCATTTTGTAGGCCTCTGGATTAACCAGAGCATGGTCAGTTTTATTTATTTTTTTCTTCCTGTTTGTGTTAAAATCTGATTTTCTTCTTCAAAGGTTGATGCCCAGTTACAGGTAGTAAGGAAACTAGAAGAGAAGGAGCATCTGTTACAGAGCAACATTGGCACAGGGGAGAAGGAGCTGGGTCTTAGGACCCAAGCCTTAGAGATGAATAAACGCAAGGTATGATGGATTACTCTGTAATCTAAAGTGATGATTAGTCTCAGAGGAAAACATAAGTATGACACTGGTTAAATTATGGGCCCACTTTATTCTGTGAACTTGGGTTAACATTTTCCTCACTGGAAGTAAGAGATGATAATGATGGTTCTTATACATTCCACTAGGCAATGGAGGCAGCCCAGCTTGCAGATGACCTCAAAGCACAGTTGGAGTTGGCTCAGAAGAAACTGCATGATTTTCAGGATGAGATTGTGGAGAACAGTGTCACCAAAGAAAAGGACATGTTCAATTTCAAACGAGCCCAGGTAAGAGCAGTTGTCTTTCCTTTACATTTCACCTTTTAGGTATTTTCTGAGGTCTGAAGTGACTCATATGATGGAAAGAGTCATTAGTCTAATGCATGTTATTTCCTACTAGACTGTAAGTTCCTTGAGAGAAGACCAAATCTGTTTTCTTCACTGCCATATCCCCAAAGCCTATTATGGTGCTTAGCATCTAGAAAGCATGAAATAAATATTTATTAAGTGAACGAATTAGTGAATTGTTAAAGAAATAGCAGCATAGCAACATTAAGGTATTTTAAAGTTCTCCTACAATCTCTCTATTTTTGTCGTGTTAGCTGTTTTGCATGATGTCTTTTTATCCATATTCATAAATCTGTAAATTATCTTAAGTCTATCTTCATCTTAAAACTAGTTTCCATAACATAGAATGACCTATTGTCTAAGGTCTTAGACTGTGTTTTCACAGGACTGAATTGGCAATAGTTAGATGTACCTCTAGTTTAGGGATATGATTGTGGTTACCTATTCTGAAACAAAAGGAAGTATCTTGCCACTTGGAATTCTGTACATTCCTAAAAGATAATTGGACGTGAAAGGAGAGAAAAAGCTTTTTTTTCCACAACAGAAAGTTCAAGTTGGAGTAACTATTTTTCTTAAAAATGGCTGGTCTGGGGAAATGTGTCTAATGGGTATGCTATCCTACCACAGGAGGACATCTCTAGACTTCGAAGGAAGCTGGAGACCACAAAGAAACCAGACAATGTACCCAAATGTGATGAGATTCTGATGGAGGAGATTAAGGATTATAAGGTTAGGAAAACTGCCTCAGTGATTTCTTTGTGTTTTTTTTGTTAAGGCCTGAAATAGACTATGGATAGACTGGGAGAATAAATACTGAACTTCATTACAAGAAGGAAACCAAAGAATGGTTTATTTGGAGGGGAGGGGAGGTGGAAATGGTACTCTAGTCTTAGTGCTTTGTGGGTTTTCTCGTTGTTTGTTTGCTTGCTTATATATGAGAGCCATTTTGATCATGAACCTTTATGGTTGCTCAGATTCTGACTTTTTTCCTTTTTAGGCACGCCTGACCTGTCCATGCTGCAACATGCGTAAAAAGGATGCTGTACTTACCAAGTGTTTTCATGTTTTCTGCTTTGAGTGTGTGAAGACACGCTATGACACCCGCCAGCGCAAATGTCCCAAGTGTAATGCTGCTTTTGGTGCCAACGATTTCCATCGCATCTACATTGGTTGATCCAAGCCAAGAGAAGAAGAGGAGCTGGCCAGACAAGCATTTATTCATTAACCACCAAACCTCTACCTCTTCTCTCCTTGACTGTCACCTGCAGGGCAGTTTGTTGGTTAACTACCTTTCTTCCACAGACTTTGGAAGTCCAGACTCTCCTATCTAATAGCTAGGTGACTTTAGGAGAAAGGGCTGGTATATTCAAGTTTGGGGTTTTAGAATGAATTAGAAACGAATAACTCTTATTTGTCTTCCTTACCAGATTTACTTCCTGCTTTTAGACTTTTCAGCATTTTCTTCTTTGGGCCTAATGTACAATCTTGGATTGTCCATTCCTCCCAAAGAAGGCATGTTGGTATTTTTGAAATGGAAAGGGAAACAAAGACTGGAACCATGCCATTTTGGGGGAGTGACCTTTTAGAAATAAGCTATCCGTGGGCACAAAATTTTCTTGACTTGGGTAGTGAACTATTTGTAAACTTGGATTATAAAATGGTATAATTGTGATACCCTTTCCTGGATGATTTGAAGCCTTAATGAAATTCTGTCCAGGGTGTTTGAATCCATTTTCCATTTACTAGCAAAGTAACTTGTTAAGGTCAGTTGGCTTCCTTGTTAAAGTTATTTAAGTTTTGAATTTTCAAGTACTTAAAATCTTTAAATTTCTTGAGGACAGAATAATTTCAAATAATATAGTCCCTTTTGTCTTCTAATGAAATCAGGATTGGAGAGGATGGGAAATAGGACTGAGATGTTGAAGAGATCTTCTCGGTACTTTGGGAACTTGATAGAGAGAGGCCTTGATGAGCTATGAATTACTCTCATCCTCCTCTCCACAGGGGTTGTTGTGATCCCTGTTTTCCAGAAGACTCTCTGTACTGTTTCTGTAGGACTTTATATTTCACAAACTTCAATTAAAGAAGGACTCAGTTTGCTTTTGTGTTTGTGGTTTTACTTTGAAACTTTTGTCTTTGTTATTACTAGTTGATTTTATACCTGCTTTGTCCTAGAATTGAATTCTATTCAACAGAAATAATCAGCTTAGATTAAGAGTCTGGCTGCATTTGAAGTTATTTAGTTTTGATTAATTGAAACGCTTTTTCTCCCAGTTGTTTTACTGAGTTTATTCTGAGGAGAGATTATGCCTAAAAGGTGGTAGTTTGAGTAATCAGTTCTCTTCCGTAGTTTGCTGTGAGGGTAAGAGGTTGTGCTTTGTTTTTTTTTAGGGAGTATAATGCTGCCTGGCACTTTAGGTTGAGGGTTCTTGAACTGCAAGTTTTATAGTAAGCAGCAAACCAGAGGTTTTCTGTATCGCTGATAAGGAGTTGCATAAAGTGGGTTCCTCTTGATCACTACCTGTCCTAAAAGCTGGATAAGAACAAATTCCATATCCTTTTGTGGTCACCAGCTGTAATCAGCAGGACTTGTGATGAATTCCACAAAATCATGTGCTATGGGTTAAGAAATGAGTCTAATTGGGGGATCTTACAAGGTCATCGAGATGTCATGGGCCCCTCGGTCCCCTGGCCCCTGCTCAGCGCGCACACACACACATGTGCACAGAACCATGATGGGATTAGGCCCTGCTCCGGAACACATATTCAGTGTGCATTCAGTAATAGACATTTTCCTCTTGCTGCTTGCTCTTATAGAGCAAACTTGAGAATAACCTGGTTGATTGGTTGGGAACTAAATAGACCACTCGGGCAGCAGTTGGTTTGGGTTTGGGTATTAGTTGTTTATGGTAACTGGCTGGGAAAGCTAGCTGCCCTGCACAAGGGGACAGTGGGGCCTGTGGAATGTTGTGGAGGAAACCACTAGTCCCATGGGAAGCTGGATTTAGGAGAGGCTTCTGCACATGAGAAGAGCAGGGAAGCCCTGATCCCAACTAGCTTGAGGTCTGGGCAACACAAGGTGAGCTCTCAGAGACATTTTCAGAGAATAACCCAAAATGGTGTTTTTTGTTTTTTTTTTTGACAGTCTGGCTTTTCTCTCTACAGAAGAGGTCAATGAATGGGCCTCAGGAATCCCCCCAAATTTCATACCAAATTTTGCTTGTGTTGTATGTACATTATTTGTAGCCTTTTTCAGATTCTTACACAAATTTTGAGACTTCACAAATCTCCAAAGAGGTAGGAGTCACAGCTCTAGATCCGTAGGAACTTTGAAGGGAATTTATATTTTTTAAAGTAATACCTATAAATGCCAATTTCAAAGATTATTGTAGAGAAACTGGTACGTTTGGGT